TATGCTTATTTTGATAAATTTCCTAATGAAAATGTCAATGCTATTAGGACGATTAGCCCAAAAATACATTAAAAAAAAGGGTGCGGTTTCAATAAGATTGCGATCTTAAACAATCCAATTAAGGCGCACCTTTAAATTTTATCTGTTGTAAAAAATTCTTAAGATTATCTTAAAATCTATTTTTGTGTCTAATTAGAAAATGTTAAACTCCAAAAATAGTTAAAATCAAGGAGATCTATAAACATATAAAAATATTGAAAATGGACAGCCTAGATGATATGTTGCAAGATGCACTATTTATGATACTCAAAAACTTTTTTCTTTTAAATTCATACATCTTGATGTCGATATGATCAAATAGAGGATTTTTTCAACATTAAAACAACCTTTGTGGTAGATTTTTGAGGTGCATCTGTAATTCTACATTTTATGGTTGCAACATTATATAAACTTTTCTCTTAAAAAATATCAGAATCATCCTTTCTTCATAGCCTAAGGTGACTTCTATGCTTAGATTTAATTATAAATTTGGAAACTTTATCAAAATTACAACCTATGCAACCAGGACACCTACCGCCATTGCACGGCCCAAGATCATAACATTTAGGGTTTAGGTTCATGGGTTTTGGGTATTATCAAAATACACGTTATTTTTTCAGTATTTACGTTTTTTTTCCTTTCTCTATCATTCCGCTAAGAATAATATGTATCTTGCTCTGCGTTTCGAAATTAAATCAAAAGCTGTGTAAAATGTTAAATAGTTAATATCTTAAGAGTATTTTGACAAATTTCCCTTACAGATTTATATCGCACACATTATTAACACCTCATACTCTCTTCGTTGAGTGTGCTTTTTAAAGTATCTTCACACGTATATCATTAAATATGTCTAAAAATATCAAATAATTCAATCGGGTGACACGTGAGTTTAACAACAATGTTAGAACTGTTAATAAACTGACAAATACATCCCACTTTACGAATTAATCTCAATTTACTTCAGTTATATGATCAAAATTGGATGATTATTGATCTACCTACCACATATAATAAAGACACAAAGCAATATGATTTTTTTTTTTTTAATTGCTCTTTTGTCCGACAATAACTACACCAGACAAGTGATATATAGTACATTGTACACAATTACACTGTATTTCATCTATAATACATTGTACACAAATGGATCATCTAATCCATCCCTCTTGGCTCATTTCGAATGTAGTTTAGTAAATGATGCTATTTAATTTTCCAACTTTAAATAAAAACAAAAAAATGAAAAATATCTTGTCTTAATTACGAATCCATTTCATTTATTTCAAAATCCCCAAAATTAGCACACAAAATAAAAAATTCCATATTCACCCCAATCATGCCAAGGGGCATGGTGATAATTTCCATGAAACAAGGGCATGGATGTCATTTGGTATAAGTCAGGGGTAGCCATCTCTGGTTCGATTAGTGAAAGCACAGAGTGTCACCCCAGGGCAGTGTATTCAATATTAAGAAAACCCAGGGGTATTTACGTTATTCTCATGGAAATTATGCTTTCTTCTTCTCTACTTAAAGCCGCCTCACCCCCACTTTCTCTCTCTGAAACACCACCCCACGAGGCTTAGAGAGAGAGAGAGAGAGAGAAGGCAAAGAGTCATAGAGATAGAAAATTGAGTCTTAGAGAGAGAAAGAGAAGACACAGAGGATTATCAGAGGCATAAAATGGAGGCTTAGAGAGAGAAAGAGAAGACAAAGAGGATTATCAGAGAGGCATAAAATGGAGGCTTAGAGAGAGAAAGAGAAGACAAAAGAGGATAATCAGAGAGGCATAAAATGGTGGCTTAGAGAGAGAAAATAGAGAGGTCTTAGAGAGAGAAAATAGAGAGGTCTCAGAGAGAGAGAGCAGAGAGAAGACCGAGACTGTTTCAGCCATGGTGAAGGCGTCACTATTTGGTGCCGTTAAGTCTCATTCCTGGTTTCGCCGCCCAAAAATCCTCTCTGTCACAGTTACCGTCACCCTCTGCTTCCTATTCTACCTCCTCGGAAACTATAATCAGTCTTATGGGTCCAGGCCCACCGCCACCCCAACTGCTGGCTTTGTCCGCGGCTGCAATCTGACGGAATCCGTCATCCTGGACTTCGAGCGCCACCACATGGCGGAGCCCGACTCTGAGTCGGATGCAGCTGCAGCTAAGGCCCGGTTGTTCCCACCGTGCGAGCCGAGGCTCAGCGAGTACACCCCGTGTGAGGACCGAGACCGGTCGCTGAAGTTCGAGAGGCAGAGGCTCATTTACAGGGAGAGGCATTGCCCCGAGAAAGGTGAGCTCTTGAAGTGCAGGATCCCGGCTCCGTTCGGGTACAAGAGGCCATTTCCATGGCCTCAGAGCAGGGATTTTGCCTGGTTCAATAACGTTCCTCACAGAGAGCTCAGCGTCGAGAAGGCGGTGCAGAATTGGATAAGAGTCGAGGGAGAAAGGTTCCGGTTTCCGGGTGGCGGGACGATGTTTCCGAGGGGGGCAGATGCTTATATTGATGATATTGAGAAATTGGTTCCTCTACGGAACGGGTCGATTAGGACCGCCATTGATACTGGTTGTGGGGTGAGTTTCTCTTTTTCTAAATTATTTTGTTGGGTTTCTCTCTCTAAATTCTTTTACGAGGTTAATTGTTTTTTGGGTTTCTCTCTCTGTTATGTGTTGACGTTGGGTCTCTCTCCTAAATTCCTTCGTTGGTTTCTCTCTCTTGATTTCGTTTGGGTTTCTCTCTCTCTGTGGAGTCGCTGAAAATTGGAGGTCTATGAGGTGGGTCAACCACTTTCTCTTAGCTCTCTCTCCCTCTAGATTCTTATCAAATTTTAAAACTTGATTTTTTTTTGTTGTTGAATAGTTAACATGAATTTCATTGATTTGTCAAAAATTCAAAATTCATCGATTTATTTTTGAAATATTATAAAAAAAAAGATATTTTTTTAGTTTTTTTTTTGGATGATTGCAGAGAATTGCAGAGATATGTTCATCAGAAGGGTCTCTCTCTTGTAATTCTTTTTTTACTTCTAAAAATTTGTTTTTTTTAACCCTTTTTTTTTTTATTTTAGCATTTTGACTGTGTATTAATATCTTTTGTGTGTTTTTTATCTTTTAATTTGTCTGTTTATATAGGTTGGGTTTATCTTCTTTCCTTTTTTTCTTATGGATTTTTAAATTACGAAAAATCGATCTTTTTATTCCTTTTGATGCATTAATTGAGAGATGGGCTTATCTGTGGGGACATTGATACTCTTTGAATGAGTTTTTTGTTTCATTTTCTTGTTTTTTGAATGGGGGTTTTTGTTTCATTTTCTTGTTTTTTAAGTAGGTTTTTATTTCATTGTCCTTTATTTTTTTGTTGGGTTGCTCAATTGGGAAAAGAAAGCTTGGCCTTATTCTCTTTGTTTCTGGCTTTTTGCAATACCTGGCCCCCCCTTTTTTTATTCATTTGAATCTCTCTTGCAATTTCTTTTTCTTTTTCTCTTCAATAACTCAATTTGTTTCTTAATTTCATAAATTTTCCAATTTTTGGTTACCCCTTCAGTTTCTTTAGTGGTATTTTGGCTGAAATTAAGAAGAAATGCATGCTCCTTCATGGAAATTATAGAGAACGTGGCATAATCAAATTTTTACCTCTTTTTTTTTTACTTGGGTAAATTTCACTTTAAACTAATTTATTTTTCAGGCTTTGCCTTGTGTCTTGGACGAAGTAAGGGCAAATTCGCCACTGTTTTTTTGGTTTAAAATGGATTCATTAATTTGGTCTAATCAGACGGCTTAATGCTTCCAAGGGGGATGAATCATAGAAAGGTAAGAAGTGCAAAAATATGAGAAATTCAATGGCTTCAAGTCTTCTAGTGCCTGCCCCTGACTAAAAAATGACCAAAATACCCTTTTTGAGTGTTTTATTTGGAGACTTGTCTCCCTCTCTCCAGAAATTCTCTCTCTAATTCCAGTTTTTTTCTCCACTCCCATACATTTTAGAAAAATAAGTGTAATTTCTTCTGAAAGTATTTTTTAAATGTGAATTGTGGGGGTCTAGGAACATGGAATTCTAGTTATATGAATCTATTGGATTGGTTTTTTTTTTTTTCTATCTTTTGAGTTGGCTTTTATTTTCTTTCCTTTGAATTGGCTTTTTTTCTTTCTTTCTTTTGAATTGGCTTTTTTAATTATAATAAAATTCCTTTACGTCATTTGGAGAGAGAGAGAGACCACCAAAGAACTTATGAGAGAGAGAGACCACCAAAGATCTTAAGAGAGAGAGAGAAAGATCTTAAATGGAATTTTGTCTATTGAGACAAAATGGTTATGATAACAAATGAGAGAGAGAGAGAGAGAGAGAGAGAGAAACAAATAATGTATTGAGACATATAACATGAGACAAGTGGGGGGTGGTGTTTTGTGATTATTATTATTAAGACTCTTTGGGTGTTGATTAATTTATCAGTCAATGCTAAGAAGGCTCACCCCTTTCATTGAATCTTACTTAAATCTTATTGGCATGTGAACATTTGTGGTACAAAAAAGGCTTTAGAGAGATGTCACTTTTAGGCTAGAAAGGGCCTAGATTCATATTTATGTGGGGGTGTTCTTAATATAATCCTAATTGGATTTTATTTTATTTTATCCTTTTTTAATTGTGATTTATATCAACTTTTATTGAACCTTTTTGGTTTTCATGCAGGTTGCTAGTTGGATTCTAATCCTCACTATCTTAATTTTCTAACCCCAATGATTTCGCTTTTTTAATTTGTGGTTGACAAGAACTTTTTAGTGGACCTTTTTGGTGGTCCTTCAGGTTGCTAGTTGGATTCTAATCTTTACTCTATTTTTTTGAGTATTTCTAATCCGTACTCTATTGATTTTGTCTCCCATTGATTTTTTTTGCTTTTTATATAATTTGTGATTCAGAATAACTTTTTAGTGAACCTTCTTGGTGGTCACGCAGGTTGCTAATTGGATTCTAATCCTTACTACGTTGATTTTCTCAGTCTAGTCATTTTTTTTAATTGAGAAATTTACTCGGATATAACTTAAAAAAAAAAAACCCATAAATAGAACAATGTAATTACATTCATAACTTCTTTTCTATCTTTTATTATTTTTTTAAATTTACCCAAATCAATTGGGCCTTGAAAGTATAAAGTTGAGTTTGGGACGACCTCATCTGATTACTTGGACCAAGAAGTTCAAATTTCTTAGAAACCTCAATATGGATTCTTATTCAATGGGCTTTTTGTCGAAACCTCAAATTCATTTTGGGCTCTTTGTCGAAATTCAGACCTCCAAATTCTGAAACCTCAAATTCATTTTGAGTTTTTTGTCGATAATCAGACCTTCAAGTTCTGAAGCACACAGATGAGTTTGAAGCACAAAGATGAGTTGAAAAAAAAATAACGACGAAAGACTTTCAAGTCCTGAAATACGGAAAAAGGAATTTCTCTGTGATGCGTGCGTGTGTAGAATAACTTTTTAGTGAACCTTTTTGGTGGTCAGCGAAATTGCTTGTTGGATTTTAAAATTGCTATATCGGAATTCTTAGCCGAATGAATTTTATTTAAGTGTTTTTGAAATTTTATCAAAATACACCTAAAAATCAACTATCTAACATTTTATTCGTACCTTTTGATTTAGTTGTCAAAATACCCACATTTAAGGGTTGGCAATGGACTTGGATGCCGACCCGGACCTAGACCTGGCCTAGGACCTGAGGGGTAGACTCTATCTGGGTCCGGGTATGATCTAAAACTTGGACCCGGTGGGTCGGGTCCGGGTCCAATTCATGGACCTGAACACTATTCGGGTCCGGGGTTGAATCCGACTTAACTTTGCCACTCCTACCCACATTTTTTCCATTATCTTTTAATTTAATTTCAAAATACCCATCAAAATAGTTGAAAACCTAAGCTGTTAGATTTTTGAAACTTACATTTCTTTTGATAAATTTCTATATATATATATATATGATTTTTTTTGTTTTTTTTTTGGTGATTGAAGATAAACTTTTTTTGAATAAAGTTTTTGTTGGTGGTGCAGGTTGCTAGTTGGGGTGCTTATCTCATGTCAAGGGACATATTGGCCATGTCTTTTGCCCCAAGGGACACCCATGAGGCCCAAGTGCAATTTGCCTTAGAACGTGGGGTCCCAGCCATGATTGGGGTTTTGGCTTCAAAAAGACTCCCCTACCCTTGTAGGGCCTTTGACATGGCCCATTGCTCTCGTTGCCTCATCCCTTGGCACCTTCATGGTATGCATAACTGAGTCCTTTTCTGCAAGCTTTAAGCTTAAGGTTCACCCAACTTTTTTGTTTTGTTTTGTTTTTTTATTTTTATTTTTGGGGGGTGGGGAAGTGATTGATTTGCCTTTTGGGTCTTTGATAAGTGTGTTTTTCACCAACTCAATTTGACTTGGTGGACTAGTTGGCTAACTTGTTACTCTCACATATAGTATATATTTAGTTGGCTAATTCGTTGGCTGACTTGGCTGGGCTGACTTGGCTGGACAAATTGGCTATATTATTTAGTATATATATTTTTAAATATGTAATATATATATATAAAATAATTTTTCTATTTTTTAAAGAAATTTCTAGGCTCGGATCTGGGTCTAAATGACTTTGGATCGTCATTTGGATCCGACCACTTGGACCTGACCTAGGTCAGGTTTGGGTCCAGATCAAGGTCGTCTCGGATTGGCACCCCTACCCATAGATTCAACCAAAATAAGGGAAACCTTTTTATGTGCCCAAAAGACTTTATAGCCTTGTGGGAATATACTGTCCATTTACTCATTTGGGTAGACCCGTTATGGAAGTAATTTTAGGACCCCAAATTTTGGGGATGTAACCTCTACAGATGAATCCTAGGGGACAAAAAAATAAATAAAATAAAAAGGAGAATTGAACCCACTGTGTACTAGAAAAAATAATGTCTCAAGATTGAAGAGTCACCGTCTAATTTTTGAAGTGACAGATCTAAATGTCAAAAAACCTAAAAATTCAAATTTTTTTCTGTTGGAAATAATCATCTAATGATTTTTAAGCGGTTCTCAAAATTGAAGACCGAAAAATTCATCCCAAATACGTATTTTTACTTATGAGTATATACGCATTATGCTCCAACATAAATCATGTGTCCCCGGTCTGATCTTAATCAGACGTTTGGGAGTAAGTCGATAACAATATGTCTCATTTGAATTGGATGGTTGGAGTGCGTCTAGAACACTATTACTGGCTGGCCCAAAATTAGTGGCTGTTATCTCATTCTCAACTGTCCGATCAAGTTGGAAGTGCTAGATGCAAATTTTAGAAGGTAAAATAAATCACTGTTGAATGCCTATTTGGAAGAAACCTCAGGGAAAATGGAAAGGTATACGGACCATGAAAGCCACAATGGCATGTTCACTATTCGTGGGAAAGTATAGTATACTCTAGGGCGAGTACACTGTAGCAATGTTCGCAATGTGAGCATCCATACCATAGTCTCATTGCTCTTTTTATCTTTGGATTTACTTCCATTTTGTCGTTAATTTGAATCAGTGATACAGTCTTAACACGTGGATAACTGAAACTACAGATGGGCAAAACCTTATAGAGGTGGATCGAATTCTTCGGCCCGGCGGATATTGGATTCTTTCAGGACCGCCGATAAATTGGAAGACACATTGGAAAGGTTGGCAGAGAACAACGAAGGATCTCATGGCTGAACAAAATGCGATCGAGGCGGTGGCTCGAAGCCTCTGTTGGAAGAAGATCAAAGAGAGGGGTGACATAGCTGTTTGGCAGAAGCCCTCGAACCATGTCCACTGTAAAATCAACCGCAAGGTCTTCAAGAACCCACAATTTTGCAAAGCCTTGGATTCGGAGTCGGACTCGGCATGGTAAGCTTCTATACAAGAATTGTGAAATCTTATCATGAAATTGTTTTTGACAACCAAATTCTTGATTGTTTTGATCCAAGGTTTTTGAGATCTTGTAATGGAATTTTCTTAACAACCAAATTTTTGTATCTTTTGAATGTTCTATTTTGAAATCCTATCATGGAATTGTTTTAAGAGCCAAATTCTTTTTATTTTTGAACTTCTACCCAAAACTTTTTGAAATCTCATAATGAAATTGTTTGACACGAAATTCTTGTTTAGTTTGAAAAATATGATTTATCTTGGTTTATTTAGTGATGGATTTCGAAAATGAGCTTAAAAAAAAGAAAGAAAGAAAGGTGGATGCTCATTAAGGGGAATATTTTTTATGTGCTCTATGGTGAATGGTGCATGCTCCCATTTATGTAAATTATGGGGCTAATTTAGGCCGATCTTGTGAAGTCATTTTTGGGGGTGGCCATGGACCTAGACCTAGACCTGACTTGGAACCTGAGGGATAGACTCGATCCAGATCTGGGTATGGGTCAAAAAATTGGACTAGTCGGGTTGCCGGACCCGATCTCGTACAGGGCACATGTCTCTGAACACTTGAAGGGCGCACAACCAAGTGATTCAACCTAGCATTATCCAAGGGCCATAGAGTATAGTTTTTGTTTTTCTTTTAAAAAATTCGTTATCGAAAGTTTGGGGTGTAGATTCAATTTTATAGCGTGTACCGAATAAAAATGAAAAGAAAAAATATTTTAAAAAACAAAAATCAACCTGAATACTCTTAGAACATTTAGGGGTATTTTGGTTAACTTTTGTTATTCAAAATAGTTTTTTATTTTATTTTATTTTATTTGGTGGTCTCAATAGAAATAGAAATAAATCTATGTCCCAAATTTCAAGTAATCTTTTAAGGTTGCGGTTTCCATAAGGATGCAACCTTAAATTATAATCATACTATATAATTTTGATGTAAAATGCTATTAGGATTATCTTAAAATATATTTTTATATCTAATTATAGAATTTTATATTAGAAAAATAGTTAAAATCAAGTAGATCTATAAACATATAAAAATCTCGAGAATGGACGGTGTAGATAATATATTATAAAATGTACTATTTTTTAGATCCGAAATCTTTGTATTTTTCATAGTCATCGGTTTCGATGTTGCGATGGTCGATCGCAAGGTTTTCAACATCAAAACAATCTTTTTCGAACGATTTTTGAGGTGCATCTATAGCTGTACAAGATTTCAACAAACTTTTTCCATCTTTTAAAAAGGATTACTTTATTTTTGACGGTTGGATATGACGTAGTCCAAACTGAATGGTTGTACGTGGATAAGAGACTTTTCAGTCCACGCGTGCGTTTTATTTGATAATTGAGGGTTTTATTATTATTATTTGAAATTAAGGTGCCACACGATTTTTTGATAAGAATTGGGGTTTATTTATTTATTTTTGAATGTTATAAGAATTAAGTATTTAGTATGAGAATGAGGGCCAACATATGAGTTGGCCAATTTATGGAAGAATCCTTGTGTAGGCGTGCGCATAGGCATGCCTTGCAGGGCAGTTCATTGTATGTAAGCATAGGTCTGTTCATTGTATTTAGCCATGTTGTATTTTTTTTTCTATAGCAAGGTTGGTGGTTTTTTACCAAAAAAAAGTTGGGTAATGTTTTTCAAAGAAAAAAAGAGTGTAATTATGATATTTTTGCCTGAACATTTATGACTTTTCTTGGGAATGGTAGCAAACTTGGATGGTGCACTTCTTCCTTTTTGTAATATTCCAAAATCCGAACCAATTTTGAGTTGGGTTTTTTTTTTTTCCTTCCCATATAGTTAGACCTGATCATGATCCCGGTCCGGGTATGGTTCAAAAATTGGACCGGGTCGGGTCTGGGTTTGGGTCCGTTAATATTTTTTGGATTTCAATATATGAAATACATTTAAATATGGTAGAATATATAAATGTTTTGATTATTTGGTCGGATATGAGATTGGGTCCCACACTATATTTTTGGTTTTTGGGTTTAGATCTAGGTCCGGTCGGACTCAACCAGACCTGTTTTCACCCCTACTTATAGGACGAAAATAATGCATAAAGCAAAAGTATAATGGGGTGCTCTAGAGAATATTTTAAATGAATGGTGGCCCTCTTTTACGTCTAAAAGTTGGACATCTAAAGTAGTCCATGTGTTGAAAAAGTCCAATGTATAAGATTTATGTGCATACTCATATTACATATTGAGTGGATTGCTCAACGATGCATCATGAGTGATACACATGTGCGCTCTCTCGGGACTCAGACATGTGTGTCGACACATTAAGAATACGACACTAGTATCTGATTTAATGAATTGTTTTTAATATTTTTTATTAAATTCATTATAAAAATATTTAATATCACTTAAAATCTCAATTCCTTTTTATTTAAATAGTGTATGGAATTTTGTGTGTCTGAAAAATCAATTTTGAGATAAGAATTTCTGACGGTCATTTTGTATGATACAATTAAGAACATTGTCTTTTTGTATGGGGAGAAAAAGGGGATTATATATTACAAGGCTATTTCCCTTTGGCTCAAGAATCCGGCGGTTTGAGATGTTCACAAGGTTTGAAATTCTTTTTTTTTTCTTTTTCGATTTTGAGCTAAGTGTTATGAGAAAAGTCTGGCAATTTGTGATGTTCACAAGGTTTGAAATTCTTTTTTTTTTCCCTTGATGCTCTAATAGTGCGATTTCACATTCAACAACCGAAGTTGATTGAGAGTCAAAAGCTAGATGGTTTATTATCTATAATAAGCATAATTATAGTTGATATGTTTAGTCATGTGTTTTGTTTCATGATATTAGTGTGGTCAATATTACAAATTATTTTCGCCAAAATGCCGTCTTTGTTCCTCCTTTTTTTTTTTTTTTGCCTGTTAATTTTTTAGAGGTAATTTTATCATTTGTTGGGGTTAAAGTGATATTTACGTTGAGAGGCAGTCATATTTTATAATAGTGTAGCATGACACCCTGAAGCATATCCTTGTTTTTCAGTGTGAATGTCACTTTTCCTCCACAAAATGATGAAAATATTTTTTTAAGAAAGGTGTGGACACTTTGAAAAGAAGTAAGGAAATTTGATAACTACAGCTTCACTTTTTTAATGCTTTTAATGTTAAACTCTGTGTGACTTAATTATACTGACCTTATAAATCCTATAAAATAAGCACAAATTTGAAAAAAATAAAGCAATCTTGATAATATTGAGTTAATACTCTTGTTTAATGTTACACTCTGTATGACTAGATATCTGAACCTTATAATTCCAATCCCTTAGTGAAATTAAAGGAAATTTATCAAACTATACTAAGATTCAAACTATTTAATATCTTACTCACATTTTTTTTTATGTAATTTTAAATAGCTCGATGTACTTTTGATCAAAATTTGGGTAGCACATCAAATGACACCTCAAAATGGCTTTGAAATTTATCAAATTTCACTTAAGGTAAAATATTAAAAGGAAACAATTTGTACACGGTGGCAAACCTATAAAAGTATTCTTGCATTCATCTACAACCTCTATTTTAGTTGGATGTTGTAGATTTGGCATTTATCTTTAATTTGTTAAATTTTGACACTAGCTTAAAAGACCTTTTAAATTTATATCATCTAGCTAAAATAGGCAATGTAGTACAATGCAATCTTACTTTTTACAAGTGAGTTCGCATGTTGCCTCATATATTGTAATATCACGACCAGACCGACCAACGAGGTGTTAGGTTCAGTCAAAGTCGGTCTGACTGTGGGTTAAATTAGTTAGATTGGAATTAAAAATATATAAATAAAAATAAAAATAATTTAAAAATATGGAATATATTAATAAATTTTACTCATCTTTATTTAGCTAGTCAGTCTTTTAGATTAGATCGATCAAGGCACCAGTCTCGGTCAAACCACCGGTCCTGTCCGCTGTCGATAGTTATGAAATAAATTCATCCATTGTTAAATAGTTCAAATTTTTAGTTATATTTTGATACATTTATTTAAAACTGAAGCATGCCTAATTTCACTGGTGATTCAGGTACAGAGATATGGATACATGCATGACACCATTGCCAGAGGTGAATGATATAAAAGAAGTTGCAGGTGGTGAATTGAAGAGATGGCCTGAGAGATTAATGGCTGTGCCCCCCAGAGTACTTGGTGGAAGTGTTGAAGGAATTAATGGTGAAGCTTTCATCAAAGACACTGAGGATTGGAAAAAGAGGGTTTCATATTATAAGATGGTTGTATATCAATTAGGGCAGAAGGGGCTGTATCGAAATATTTTGGACATGAATGCCCATTTAGGAGGGTTTGCTGCTGCACTCATTGAAGATCCTGTTTGGGTGATGAATGTTGTTCCCCCTCAAGCCAAGGTTGATACACTTGGAGTTGTCTATGAGAGAGGGTTTATTGGCACTTACCATGACTGGTTAGCTCCCTTTCTCTCTCTAGTTATCTATCACTCTTCAGTTATCTCTCTCTAGCTCTCTCAGTACCGGTGTTCGAAAAATCGAACCGGCCTCAGAAACCGGCCAAGGACCGGGTCCGAGTTACTGGTAAACCTTGAACCGGCCTAACCGGATGTGTCCCGGCTGGTCCATAAAGTGTTAGAAACCTATAAACAGCTAATTTTTTAAAAAAAAATATGAAAAATATATTTAAGGCCTAACTAAATAAAGCATATCCAAATGAAGTTAAGTTGAAAAGTAGTGAAGAAAATGGATTTTAGGTATTTTCAAATTTTTTTAAAAAAAGATGGAAAAATATAAAAATAAGTACTTTCTAATCTTTGCTAAAATGATAAAAAATATTTTTCAAAATGATAAAAAATATTTAAAAACAAATTACAAATAAATCAATTATTTTTTAGGATTTTATAGATATGTTTTGGAGTATTTTTTAAATACCCGGCCGGACCATCAAAATTGGATCGGTCAGTTCTTGCTTCCAATTTGATTGTCTGGTTCTGAGTTGGACCGGCGGATTTGACGAACACGGCTCCATGCTAATCACTCTCCACTTATTTTTATCTCTATTTTAATTCTCTCTCTAGTTATCCATCTCTTTAGTTCTCTCTCTCTTCTGTAGGCGTGTCTCTCTCTCTCTCTAGAAGTGTATCTCTCTACTGAGTTAATAAGTTCACACTATGCACTAGTTTGTAGTAATGGCACGTCGGCAACAGCTTAGAAGAGAAAACGTGTGTGTCTCTCTCTCTAGAATCTCCCAAGTCGTGAGCCTTGTGAGAAATGGGCTAAATTTTCCCCATTGCACGACCCAAAATGTCCTGTTTTCTCTCTCTATTCTACATTTGTTTAACCCGATGTTTCTGGCCTTGACGGGGTTGACCTTAGATATTGGCTTCTCTCTCTCTCTAAATTCTCTCTCTTATGCGCACTTCTCTTACCCATATTGAAGAGAGAGAAATGGTTTGTTTTTTAAGAGAGAGATATAGTGATGCTTGGAATTTGGTGCAGGTGTGAGGCCATGTCGACGTATCCAAGGACGTACGACCTCCTCCATGCAAATGGAGTATTCACCATCAACCAAAACAGGTATATCTCATCTCTGGTGTTTTAAATCTTGGCGAGGCGGTTGATTTGGATGGAAATCGATAGGGACTAAATTAATTTTGAAGTAAATAAGGTATA